TTATGTTTAAATGTCAATTTTGATATCAAGTACATAATATGTAGATATAAGACAGGCCTGTACAATTGGAAATGTCAGGTATAGAACTCTAACAGGTATCATGGACACTGAAATCAAGAGTTTCAGGTTAGCTGGCATTTTTGTCCTTGATACTTACCAGGCCCACTCCCAACAGAACCATTTTTATATCCTCCTAAGGATTTATTAAAATAAATTTTTGAATGTATTTGAGACTTAACTCTGGAGAAATTGGCATTTGGATAAAGACAAAATGTAAAAACTTTTTTTTTAAAAGAGAGATATTTTTTTAATATTTATTTTTTAGTTTTCGGTGGACACAACATCTTTATTTTTATTTTTATGTGGTGCTGAGGATTGAACCCAGCGCCTGCGCATGCCAGGCGAGCGCGCTACCACTTGAGCCATATCCCAGCCCAGAATGTAAAAGCTTTTATAGTTAGATAAAACAAGACTAATCAGAAAAATACATCAATTTATATAGAATATTTAAAAACTTACATCATCGTAATACTAACTTTTTCATCAGATCAGAGTGTACTTTTAGCTCAATAAGAGCCAGTTGGAAGCCTGTGAAATTCTTAAGAAAAAGCTTTTGTTCAAAAAGAAAGCTTGTGCATTTAGAATGTTTCTACTTTTGTCTTTCTGTGTTGTAACATTAGGGAGGAACTGGTCAAGAAAGCCAGCTGAACACAGATAAGACAGCCAGTCAAGCAGTTTGAATTTAAAAGAATTTAAAAAGAGACACTTTTTTTCTTTCTTGACTGGTTTTTCATAAGCCTCGTAAATCTTGTAGGTCCTATAATTTACATTTTAAATATAAGGCTAGGAAAGTTAAAGATCCAGCAGAAGTTAAAAGGTAAGTAAAACTGTTGTAACCATTTTTTTTTTCTTTTATAAGATAATTTTCCATTTTTTGTGGAGAGTTATTTTTTCCTTTTTTAAAACTTTCACTCTTATACATCTTGTAACAGTTTCCACATATGGTTGAATATCAGTAATGATTTGTTGCGGATTGGAAAGGATAGAGCTTGGTAGCTGGCCACAGGGAGCTTTTGGACACTTGTTTATTTTTGTTTCCTTTGCCCCACACCAGGGTGGCCTCTTGAGGCCATCCATAAGACCATACCATAAAAGTATTTGTTACCATGACATTAGTATTTGTATTCAATAACCCTATAATTGACTGTAAATTTAAACAAAGAATTAATTTAGTCTACTTAAAATAACTGATAAACATGTTTCAATGACAGTAGAGTCAAACCTTGTATTTTTCCTTTTGTTTAAAGGTTGTAACTCTTTAAATACAGCAAAAGGTAAATGATCATATTTAGGCTGGTTAGCAGAATTTATCTTACAGACAGGTCAGTTAGGAGACTCCCCCTGCTCCACAGCTGTCCCAAGCACTCAATTAACTGGGATCTAGCTGGGAGCAGGGTGGCTGCCACAGCCAGCCAAGGAGGCAATGGCAGTGAATTAGTTAGAGGAGTCATAAGTGTGGGAGGCTCCAGGACAGCTCAGGGCAGAGTGCTGTTGCCAAGGCTGTGCCACTGCTGTGGGGGATTTAAAGGGACCGCATAGCCAGGCACAGAAGGAGAAGAGCAGGCAGATTGATAGAGGTTTTATCAATTGCATCTCTACAAAGAAACCAAGTTTGAAGCACAGGTATACAAGTCTGTGGCTTCTTGTGAAGCATTTCACCTATTTTCTCCTAGTCTCTCAAATTTAGTGTCCCACTTTCTTGATAAAAAGGACAATAAGAACTTATCTCTGTCAGCAAGGCAGTAAGATCAGCAGTATTTACGGTATGTCCAGACTTGCTAAGTAGGAGAGAAAGCTCAGCCTGATGACGTTGTTGAGCGTCATATAGAGATAGAGAATTACCCTACTGATTAGGGATCAGTACCAGCCAATGAAATAGATGCAGGTCAAAAGCCTATTCCAGGCATAAGTAAGCTACTCCCTTCCCCCCCGTTACCTATCAACAGTCCGGAAGGGTCTCTATTAAGGTGATTATGTGATCCCAAACTCTCTGTGGACTGGGAGGCCTTTTGGGGAGAGAACTCTTCTCCTGCCCCAACATTGGATGCTAGTTATAAAGAAATAATAATAAAGAGGGGAGACCCAGTGTCAAGGTACAAAGTCAGGAAAGTGGCAGAGTGGCTTCTTGTCCAAGCGACCACGTTTATTTATACCAATAGGTTACATTAGGTCATCAGTACCATAGCTACATTATTGTTTAGAGTATCAGTAAGGTTGATTAGTAAGGTTGATCAGCTTACACATATATTTGATATATATATCCATATACTCCTTTTTTACCCAAGTGGAGCCTATGGTGAACTCACATTTCTATGAGAAATCTCTTTTTTTTTT